GCTAGGCTCTAATACCATGAAGAAATTGAGAAACCTTAATTTTATTAATGAGATAACATGGGCTTATATAGGCCCCTACAAACACATCTTATAAATAACCCCCTTAACTATACTAATATGTTAACAAAAAGTGTTTTGCCATGGCTTAACTCATATATACATAGGGAAAATAGACATACACGGGGCTCTTAGATGGATTGAAAAGTTTGCACATCAAGAGCAAGATTGAGCACCTGTATCTCTTCTGATTTCAATTTCTCTTGTATTTCAATCTTTTTACCATATTAAAAGTATTAGGCCACCCAGACACATTGGAAAGACTCTGTTTTTGTTCTCTATCTTTTTCCATCCCTTTCTCATTCTCCCTCCCTTCTAATTCTCATTTTTCTCTATTTTGATTCTCTTCTTTGTGGTACAGAATTGGTTGGGCCACACAGTCACACAATGTCCTTAGATACATTGGAAAATCACAACCCCATCCCCCCTCATGCGCACAGTCAGACTGTTGTTGCGCGATTCCCCGGACCCCCCTCAAACCGTGGTACAGTTCATGCGAACCGATTCCTGGTACATTTACGAATTGATTCCCTCTGATACACGAACCGGTTCCTCAAAATTAGTGTACTACTTACAAGTATGTTAGGTGCAAAGTCTCTTTTAAGTGCACGTGCACAACAAGCAATGCAATGTGTACAATTAAGTAAAGAAAAACACACAATAGGTATAAGAGCTGATGACTTTACTGTAACTAAATACGTATGTTAATTAAATGTAAAACGAAACCATGATCTAAAAAACGAGCTCTGTGAAAAAAAGAACAAAGAAACAAACTCCATCGAAAAAAATATTTAAGTATTTTGTATGAAAAAATATTAAAATTCATAATTAGCTTTCTAGTTTTGTACTATATGTTTTGGAAAACTTTAAGGACATCTGAATTTTTTTACAACGTACCACTAACCGAACTTGCGTACTGAAGCAAGCTATCCCCTAAACCTATGTTGCATGGGTAATTTTATCATGAAGCTGTACTAATACCTGACATGTCTGTACCCATACCCAATTCTTCTTGGACACTCCTCGGATATAGGCATACACTTATTCGGACATATACTCAATTATAAAATGCATTTTTAATTTAAAACACTCTTCATTCACTTCTTGGACAGCGGTCGGGTTCATTTGAGACAATATTAAGGTCAAACTTCAGAGTTACGTTTTCAAAGGGTTTATTTGCATATCTAGTTCAGTACTATGCTTTCGGCGGATGTGTTTCAGCTGTGTCCCTGTACCCTACTTTTTACAAATATTGCTGTGTCCCGTACTCGCATTTATCTTCTATTGGACCTTCTTCAATTTCTCACATATGCACTCGGTACTTCTGTTATCTTTCAGACTTGTGCCACTAAATAATTTATCCATCTTAATTCTTACGAGATTCATTCAAAAGAGATGTAGCGTATGGTCTAACTCGTTGATCTAGAAATTACTTCCTTAGTTCCTTGTCATCTTGAGACTTCATGATATGTTCTTCAAGTCCTTATCTTGGTCAGTATCTCATGCAGAGTCGTAAGTTGACCTGGTCGCTTAACCACACTGCAGAATCTTTTTCTTCAGGTTGCTGTTCTTTTGATTTTATAACTGGCATCAGTCAGATAGTGATCAGCATAGAAAACCCTACAAATATGATGGTCGTATCTTATCATATTGACTAAAATATAATACTTTTCATAATGTTCAATAATTCTTTTTCTTTTCAATGTTCCATGATTTGTTCATTTCTCTGAATCAATTAATCTTTCTTTGTTTATTGATGTGCATCTTACCCAGTGTTTTATTTGAACTTTTCTTTCCATATGTGACACTTTTTCAATGAGTACTTTGATTTCTTTTTCCATATAGATTAACCTATGTTTTTCTTCCAGGATTTAACTCTTCTTCTTCTCACATCTGGAAGAGATCCGGGGATCATACCTCGTAATGCCCATCCTCCAGAACCAGAGGTAGAAAGCTTTCAAGCAAACGGTAATATGGGTGCTGGTCAGACTCCACAACTACGGTTACCTCGAATAAAGGATGTTATTGTAAATGGAATCACTGTAAAGGTTAAATATTGTGACACTTGCATGTTGTACCGGCCTCCTCGCTGTTCTCACTGCTCAATTTGCAATAACTGTGTGGAGCGATTTGACCACCATTGTCCTTGGGTTGGACAATGCATTGGACTTGTAAGTTGCGTATTTATTGAAAAGTACTAGGTGCTTAATTTTGCTACCCATGTATACCAGTCAAGATGTTCCTTAATCTGCATAAAAAATCAGGAATTGCTACAAGTTTCCCGCTGAATGCTTATTCTGTTTTTCTCTGCAACTATTAATCAAATGGATAAAAAAGAATCCGAACTTATGAATTCTATGAACTACTATGTTCTATTTATAATATTTGATAGTTTTGTCTAGGATATTTATCAACTAATCTATGTCTACTTGAGCTATTAGATTATAATGATGTAATTCACTATGAAGTTTCTTAGGTTTGGCCTTTTATATTCTTGATTTTCTGTGTTTGAATATGAACTTAATATATTAACATATTTTTTTTTCCTTTTCATATCCGCATGTAATTCTAGCTTAACTTAATTATAGAAAATCTGCCACATATTTCCAAAAATCTACGCAGAATATATTGATGGGCGATTTCATTAAGTTGAGTTTTTACTAGGTAAAGAAACAAGGGACGGTGAACCGATTTTTTTGCTTAGTTCCTTCTTCATTTATTTTGATATCCGAGTTCTGTTGGTATATGCTGATCACTGTTTGTTTTGTGGATGCAGCGGAACTACAGATTCTTTTATATGTTTGTTTTCTCTACAACCCTTCTTTGCTTCTATGTATTTGGCTTCTGTTGGGTATATATCAAGAGAATTATGGATTCTGAGCACAGCAGTATCTGGAGGGCAATGAGCAAGACACCTGCTTCAATTGTTCTGATAGTTTACAGTTTCGTGTGTATGTGGTTTGTTGGTGGCCTCTCTGTATTCCATTTGTATCTCATTGGCACTAACCAGGTAATTTTAGAGAAATGTACTTTAAGAAATGTGTCTGTATATAGTGGTAGTATAAAGTGCTATTAGAGGATTTGACATCTAACTTCATTTTTCAAACTTTAGGAATGAAATGATTTATTGTGACGGCGTCATTTAAATGATTATAACAGAAACCCAAAGGTTCTTCGGATCGACTATTGAATTTTGTGATCTATAGTCTAAGGTGCTACCTGAAATTGTGTGCGATGGTTCTGACATTAAAGGAATTGACATCTAACTTCATTTTTTCAAACTTTAGAGATGAGATGATTTATTATGACTGCATCATTTAAATGATTATAACAGAAACCCAATGGTTCTTTGGATCAAGTTTTATGATCTATAGTCTAAGGTAATATCTGGAATTGTGTGCGATGGTTCTGACATATTATCATGACTAAAGATTAGATGTTCAGTTTCAGGCTCTAAGTCCTATATTGTTGAATAATACATTGTGGCAAGTGGCATTGAAGCATAGTGGTAAAGCCTCTTTGGAAGGGGTAGATATAGGTTTAGATACTGCTCGTATGCTATGCATCGACTGCACACCACCCAGACTACTGTCTTCGGGTTCAATGCAAACAGCACCCGACCCCTGGGAAAGATCAAACTCAGATGTCAGATCAGAGATCTTAAGTCTGAAGTAGCATGCTACATCATAGATGCGGACACGTCCTACAATCTTTTGCTGGGACGACCATGGATACATGCAAACCGCATTGTCCCATCTACTTTGCATCAGGTTATGAAGTACGCCAATGACGAGGGCGAAGTCAGAACCTTGATTGCAGAAAAATACCCCTTCCGAGGGGTGGAAAACTTCCATACCGACTCTGTCTTTTACTTGGAATCCCAAGAGAAAGAAGATGTAGACAGCGGTAATGAAGCTGACATCGAACCAGATCCCGATGAAGATTGTCCTTGGGAGTTAAACTTTGATGTAATGGGTCAGGGTGAGAGTAATAATGATGTACCGAGCGAGGGCGAGTGGTTCATTAATGAAGATTCCATTTTAGCGTACTTGTCTGATGTCTCTCTTAAAAATAAACAAAGAGAGAATGATTCTAGTGCAGGTACAAACCCATGGCACGTACTGTGCACGGAGGCGTCGCTCACCTTGCCAATCCAGTCATCCTTCGCTTCGGATGATTAAAAAAGCCACCATTTCGTCATGTCTTGGTGGCAAGAACATCTTTCATTTGTTAGGTGTTCTGCGTGACATGGATTATGTTTCCGGTGTTTAGATGGCAAGCTATTTACTTTTCTTCTGATAAGGTTTGTGGCATTGTGCACAAATCATGTTGAAAGCCTCACATTTGTATCTTCATATACTCAAATAAGTTTACACTGCTGAGAAGCTTCTTGTGTATCAAAATTCATGTATGGTTGGTGGTGGCTTGACTTTCATTACTTCGTTGAGCTTTGTGACACTGTTTAGAAAAAGAGAGCCACTGATGCGCCACACAGAATCCTTCTCATGCACGTGCTAGTTTGCACCAGTGAGTGACACCCATGAACTTGTCATTCAAAAACATAATGTGCGGAAATTTGTTATTGGACCTCAATTGGAGGTTTTGATGCTATTGTCTATTGCAGAAGGAAAGAATGAAGTTTGCAATCTTATTTGAGAATATGCTTAGTTCCCATGTTTATTGAAATGATGCTGAAGGAATCTTGTGGTGCCTTAAATGTTAGATGACTAGGTATATTATGTTATGAATTACCAATGTCGAGCTGTATAACATGATCAGTACCCCTTAATCATGACATACATATCCGAAAACACTTAGACCTAATGTAATAGATTTAAATGCTTGTAGATCATGAAATTCTAGTTAAGTTGGTCGTTTTAAGTCTTGTCAGTTCCTTGCTAAATACAAAATCTGTTGATATTTTGATATTTGTTTTCTAGCCATCTAGATTTAGATTCAGATGAACATGTTTATTCAATTTAATATTTCATAAATACATGAGATTTGTGAAATCTGGACTTTCAGATCTTTCTATGACATGATCAAGTTGGGTCAGTCATAGGATTCCCTGATACTTTAGTGATCTGTCTATATTGAGGATGACATAATATTGATAGTGATGGTATGATTACATAACATGGTACACGAAGCATAAAGTCAACAAGTTCCAGATAATCTCAACAAATCTTTGGCATGCACACATGAAATGTTCATCTCCATCATGCATGGTGCATTTGTCCTCCCATGCAAATGCAATACTCACTAACCTCTGTTTGCTTTAACAATACATATGGGCTTCACTACGGTAACACTTCTTGGGCCATTATTTTGGTTCATCAATTGTTTTCTTCAATATTCATCCTTTAAAGTGCCTTTGCATACCCTGATAATATTGATATAACATCATGCATGAAGGGTTCTTCTATTTCGCAGGAGTGGGCTAAAGTAAGGGATAAAAATAAGGGAAAAAAAGACTTAAACAGCCATACAGACATCCTTTGTGCATTGCATACTGCTCTGCAATGGAGTTTCCTTCTTCCATGCTTCTATTCTATCGAAAAAATGGAATCCATCTGATCCAGATTGTTGAATGATCCATTTACCACCTTTGGTTTCCTATTATAAGAGTCAAAAAAAAAAAAACTATGATTGTTCTGTTGCTTTCTATATTTATCTTGTCTGTGATTTAGCAATCCTAATGTTTCTTTTTAATATGATCAAATAAGGAAAATGATCTTTTCTTTTTTTCATTTTTGTGTTCTTTCTTTTGTAACATAAATATAAGAAAGTGACTTCTCTTTTGATGTGGAAGGAAAATGATTTGTGACACTGAAAGTTACTCTCAACCCATAAGATCAAATCGAAAATAACCTTCGTTTCATACTACTATCTTGATACAAAATTTCATTTAAGAAAAACAATATATTTTGTTCATATCGAATTCGAAATGCCATGCTATTATTACCTATTATTTACATTAGTTTTATTTTTTTTCCAAATAAAAACTCATTAGCGCCAAGCGTGTGGGAATGCTAGACGCTTGGTAATTTCTCCTCCAACCAGAATGAAAGATCCCATTGAAGTAGCTAATCCTATGTGTATTGTATGTACATCAGGCGAAACAAATTGCGTAGTGTCATAAATGACTATTCCTGGTATCATAGTTACACAGTACGCATACGTAGCGGGTCACAGTACGAATACATGTACACAATTTGTCACTTAGAAAAATTGGATTCGTTAGGGGATAGCTTGCTTCAGTACGTAAGTTCGATTAGTGGTACGTTGTAAAAAATTTTCAGATGCCCTTAAAGTTTTCCAAAGCATATAGTAGAAAACTAGAAAACTAATTATGAATTTTAATATTTTTTTCATACAAAATACTTACTTTCTTTTGATGGAGTTTGTTTCTTTGTTCTTTTTTTTCACAGAGCTCGTTTTAGGATTATGATTTTTTTTTACATTTAATTAACATACGTATTTAGTTACAGTAAAGTCATCAGCTCTTATACTCTATTGTGTGTTTTTCTTTACTTAATTGTATACATTGCATTGCGTCTTGTGCATGTGTACTTAAAACAGGCTTTGCACCTAATATACTTATAAGTAGTATGCCAATTTTGGGGAACCAGTTCATGTATCAGAGGTACCGGGAATTGGTTCGCAGGAACTGTATGACGGTTCAAGGGGGATCTCGAGAATCGCGTAACGATGCTTGGTATTACCCACCCACCGGGGGAGTTTATACATAAATAAAGATCCCTAGTATCATCTTCTATACTGAGACATACCTTGAAATGAACAGTTGATTTGAGATCTCGCTATCAGCTTCTTGGCCGGAGAAAGTAATCTTTCTCAATGAAGTCTGTTGATTAGGAAAAAAATTTATCCCTTTTAAACTGTACGAGCATCTTTAGATGCATATGGTTCAAAAAAATTGGGGAAAAAAACAATCAATGTGTCGATTCCAATCTCATCACTTTTTTTGGTAACATATTTCTATTTTTCTAATGAAAAAGGAGGGAGTTTTTCTTATATTAAAACAAAACATAAGTGTTGGGCACTGGCTCCTCCCCTTAAAAAAAGAATCTACTATTGAACTTAATTTCTTGAATTAACCTTTCATTGATGTATTGTTTCGTCGTGATTCAAAACACGATGTTATTTGCTTGTTCCTGAACGAGTCCTTACAAGTCTTTTAGGTTCATGTTCTACTCCAGGGAAAGATCTATTTGACTTCTATTTGCAAATACTACTGTTTTTAGTTTTGGATCGTCCAAATCATTCCTATAGTGGATCCGGATTGATTCTTTTATCCTTCAATATAGAGATTCATTCTCCTCATAAAAAAGAAGAGGTAGAATAAATAAAGATTTTTTTTTTCGATTCATCTCTGGAGTTGAATACCTCATTCAACAATTTTTCTTAACCAACCTGTATGAATCAATAGAAAAAGCAAATCCCCTATGATATAACAGATCTGGCTCGATTATTGATAGGGTGAATAAATATGCCAAAATCGTGGTGTAATGTGTATTCCCCCATTGTTCTGGTCATGGAACAAATGAACAAAGATCCTACTGGCAACCTAAAAGTTTGAGGTATATATATACTCATAAGCTAGCATAAATGCACAAACGCACAACCTGTTCCTGACATTTGAATAAACAGAATTGCCCTTTTTTAATCATTTTACCATAACACTTATTTTTTATGGTAGTGATACTTGGATCTAGAACACGCTGAAAAATTGCTTATTCAATTTAAATACCACCAAAAACATGTGATGATAATTTTGGACTTTTTAGAAATTTTTCCTATGTTACGGAAGAGATTGAGATCATGTTCAGCAACTTTAGATTATAATCCACTTGGCTTATAATCCACAAATGGCTTATAAGTCAAGTGGATTATAATCCAAAGTGTTTGGTAAATTGAGTGGATTATAATCAATTTTCAGTGGAAGAGTGTTTGGCAAAAGAGTGTCTGATAATCCATCCTTGTTGTCAAGATGACCGAAAAATGAATTGGAGATAAAGAAAGAGGACTTTGAATTTTTCTTAAATGTTAAGGGGTAAAGTGATCTTAGTCAAACTATGTGGGTTATAAGCTAGCAAAACATAAGCTAGGTTATCTAGCTTATTTTTTCTTATAAGCCAAAATAAGTTGTTTGCAAACATGTCTCAGTGGCTTATAAGCCATAAAAGTGGCTTATAAGCCACTTTGAACCGTTGCCAAATATGCTCTGAGTATACTCCCCAAGACTCCCTAAGATTTAGTGATCTATTCATATAAGTGGTAGGGGCAAATTCTTAATGATGACTATGATTAGATAACATGAAGTTCATGAAGTCAGCTGTTTCAAGTATCTCTACAAACAACATGCTAAATTATGTCCACCATAACATGTCTGTCTGTCCATACCTTGATCAGGCTAATCTCTGTTTGCTTTGTCAGTACATATCCTCTGCAGCACGCTAATGCTTCTTGTGCCATGACTTGAAAATACGTTTACTGGTTTTTTTGTCTTGCTTTTTTTCATTCTTTAAATTTATGTTATTACTGCTGCAGTCTAAATCATATGTATAAAAGTCAGACGTAATACACATATCACCTCTTCCTCATATCTGGATTCTACAATATTGCTTTCTCCAGGCTTGCTACATTTTTCACAAAAATTTGTCAGACATGGGAGATGATACTTGTACACCTATGTTCCATGGTTCATGTATAAACTGAAAATTGGTAGAAGTTTGGGCGTTGGGTTTGGTTGTGGAAGGGGGAAATAGGGGATTTTCTGTACTATATATTTAAGAAATGCCCCTTTTGGTGTTCTCCTTGTGCGCATCACATTTTAGAAATTCTGGAGATGCATTCCCCTATGAAAAATCAAAGGAAATGCCCTCATACGCGCAAATAACAACGGAAATGCCCTCCCACATGGAAAAATCTACATATGTGACCTCACCCTTAGAAAAAAAAATCATTGGAATGCATTGACACCAGAAAAATCAATGGAAATGCCCTCGCACATAAGAAAAAAAGGAAAAGAAAAGCCCTGACAAACCATCCGTTCCCTTGACAGTTTGACTCCTCATTCTGTGTCATGCGTGCTCCAAAATAACCGTCATTCTATTAGAGTAGGTAAAAGATTATAAATGCTGTCTTCGGATGTGATCGATTCGTAAGCGAAGAACACAAAAGAAAAGGTGTTGACTAGTGGTATCTTTCACTTATATGCTCATTATGTCCAATAATCCATATCATGCTTTTCTAAAACATATAGCGTGATAAAATAAAGAGAACCTGTTGCTTCATGAGTTATTGAATATATATGCTTATAGTTCATTACTGTATCCAAATTTTACAAATCTGCCATGCTGCATGATGGGACACTGGGCATCTGGGACCAGGGTACCTCTCATTGTCCAACTCAATAATATCAATGGATAATGTATCCATTTCAAAAGATTATAGGATTTAAAACTTAACTATTTTGCAATGTGTCTTTGCAAGTGCTAAATAGTTGGCAAGAACAAACCGTCATTTCCTTTTGTCTTTTGTTTAGAGTTAAACTTCATTTGTTCGTGATAGATTACCATTTGGCATAATTTTAACTTTGTGTTGTGACAGACAACATATGAGAACTTCAGGTATCGCTACGATAGCCGTGACAACCCTTACAATAGAGGCATTTTGCAAAACTTCATGGAGGTTTTTTTCACAAAGGTCCCTCCTTCCAAGAACAACTTCCGAGCAAGAGTGCCGCGAGAGCAAGGACAACATGCACATCCTCTTACAGGCTTTATGGGTCCAAACATAGTTAGAGATCTCGAAGACGGAAAGAAGCCTGTCCTCTGGGAGGAATCAGGAGCAGAATCTGCTGGTGATCTTGAATCTGGACCGAACAATATTCGTTCAGAAAGCAAAGGTGCCAGTTTTGCTACCAGTATATCACCGGATTTAGCTGGGGTGATATCAGACCCTAACCCTAGGCGATCCAGCTGGGGCCGCCAAAGTGGTAACTGGGATATACCACCTGATGTTCTGGCATTAGCAGCTGGAATTGGCGAATCAAATCGGACGATAAGGAGCACCGCTGACAGTATAAGTTCTGAAAACCATTAGGGTCAGGGTTTTCAGTTGGTGGGCTGGTTGAGCAAGAGGGTAGTAGTTTGTTGTGTTAGCTGTGTGAAAGGTATTCTCTTTTCCTGGTTTGTTGTTTTTTTTTGCAGGTCTTGACATGTATGGTGTGTTTGTGGTTTGAGAGGTTGTGAGGGCATATGTTACTTGTCTTGAATGATGTATATAGTTTGTATTATGAGATCATGGTCTAAGGAAATAACACTAGTTTATAATCCAGTTGTTGATTAAGAGTTGTGACAACGGATGGCATCTTAAAGATTATGAAATTGTATGCATGTTGTGCTCCAAACTAGAGGATATTATAGCCTTACAGGTGAGTTTGGAATTAACTAACTCTGTAGAGTAATAAGTTGTACCGTGCATGCACACTTTTTTTTTTCATTGTCTTACACACGCACACAAAAGTATTTACGCAACATTGAAACTCCATCCTTCAACTTCCAACTGTTTCCAACATCAATATATGGTGCAAGGATGATACAATTTGACATCACCAAGAATAGCAAAACAGAAACTCACACGCAAAATACTAGCTCTCATGCACAAATCAAGCCCAAATATCATGCTCTTTTGTCTCTACGCAACATTGAAGAAACTGAATCAATCATAGACCCTTGTCTCAGTAGCTCCACTCATCATCATTAGCTATGCTTATTTTCTTAGTAGGGGGAGACAACCTTGTTCACAAAAAATCACCCCCCCCCGCCACCCACCCCCCACCTTCTGTCCGTCTCTCTCAAATCATTTTTAAGAAGAAGAAGAATGTATTGTTTTAGTGGATTAGTTGGCTCCCTATCAACCCTAGCTCATCATGTCACGACATTAAACAACATGACTAACACGAGTGAAGCATCTAGACATTGGCCCCTGCATGCCCTATTGACAACGAATTCCCTAGTCGCCGCGTCCCCTTGAGGATGATGACGATGATGATCATGATGATGGAATTTAAATACGACAAAAAGGAGTAAATAAGAGGGGAAAATATAGCAAGATATATAACAATGATTCTAACGTGCAGGATAGGCAAAAAAACATGAATTATGTGATCATATATGGCTCTCGGAAAAGCATTTATTTCAACATCCAGGAAGAAGCCAAGATGCGCAGGCAATTTGACTGCGCCGCAAAAACAACTAACACAACACGATAATATTCAATGTGCACAACGAACTCACCAAACGACATGGCCCGTGTTTTGATTCTTTCCAGTAACTACATTTCCCTTTATAATGTTAATACGACATATGAAAAAAAAAATTGTTCATTTTTTTGGTATTATGGTATTGTTCTCTATTAAATGATTTTCTTTTTAATTGGAAAAGGGACAGTTTTGATGATATATGAAACAAGTTTTCCAGCTAGCTTTCAGATACAGAATAACTATGAAACCCTAGCAAACAAATGGAAGAGAAAAAGAAACTATAGTGAAGAAAACAAGAGCGATGATACTCTGACACAGCGTGGAAGTGATAACCTCAGAATCCGTCAAGGGGTGTTCTCTGAATCCACAAAGAACGATCTTCGAATCCACGAAGTACTTCGAATCCACGAAGAAAATATTAAAAAGAGAAATTTTATTGATGAAAAATTATACATCTAGGGCTTACAATTCTCAGCTTAAATAGAAAATAAACAAGACTTCTAGTAAGACTAAAATTATAAAGAAATAGAAAGTATCAAATTCTATCCTAAAAAGATTACCTATAATAGAGGAAACAAATCATGAATCAAAATTGAATTTGTTTCCTAATCTAATTTGACTCTAATATTAAATTTATTTTCTAATCTAAATAGACTCCAACTTTATTACTAAAAATAAACTAAAAGCTGATTATTTTTGGATTTTAGTCAAAACTGGGTATTACTGATAAGATTTTAAAATCTGATAATCTGGTTGGTTTCGTCTCGTCGAGATAGACGATTTACATATATAATATGTCAGAATTCACCTTCCGGATTAAAAAATATGATTTTTTTTTTGTCAATGAAAGCTTTATTCATTTCCCAATTGTGAAAATATGTACAAATCAAGATACTCAGTACTATGGACTAAGATTACAAAATCAAAATGAGATTACATGTAGTAGAAATGCAACCAAAAACTTTATATTGACAAGAAAAGTTCCCTATCCCTGTTGGAAGAATGCGGGCTGTTTAGAAGGATGGTTGAGACATCATATTTGATTTTCCTCACAATTTGATCAGCACTCTTTGTTTTTTGTGTGAAGATCTTTTCATTTCTTTCCCTCCAAATGTGATAGATAGAAGCTGTTAAAGCCAGTCTCTTAAGCTTTTGCTTATGACCTCTACCTCTCAAACTTGCAAACCAATTTGCTAGGTGAGACCAGTTATTGGATTTCCAACCAAAGCCAATCCAATCCATAATTTGGTCCCAGATGAAGTCAGAGAGGGGGCACTCAAAGAACAAGTGATCCCTAGACTCCATGCTCAATCCCATACATAAACTGCAACAGGTGTTACTTATAATCCCTCTTTGCAGCAGTTTGTCCTGGGTTAATAGTCTATCCTGCATAGTCAACCAGCAGATAAAGGAGTGTTTAGGAATGTTTAAATTCCCCCAAACAGTTTTATACCATGGAACATGATTAGATACAGGAGAGAGCCCTGCATACAAAGCTGAGAGTTTAAGCTTTGAGTTCCTGTGACAGGAATTGATAAAGATTTGCAGCCTGTCAGTTCCCCCAAATTCAGCCAGTGCTTTATTTTTGGCTTTAACCAGTTGTTTCCACATCCAAGAATCCCCTAATTTTTCTCTTACTTGCCATATTTTTACTATTTTTGAGATAATTCCCATGAATCCATTTGATCCACAATGATTCTTTGTTAGTATGGATGGACCAGATGTTCTTCAGTGCACTTGCAATATTCCAGTTATAAGCTGAAAACACTCCCAAGACTCCTTGCTTTTTGTCTATACATACTTTTTTCCAAGAAACCAGAGATTTTCTGGATGAATCCCACAAGAATCTCCAGCACATTTCATCTGTCTTGTGAAGAACACTAGTAGGAAGGATATAGCTTGAAGTCCAGAAAATCTGCACTCCAAGTATAACACTTTTAATCACTTGTAACCTTCCTGCATAGGATAGGTTTTTGTGATTTTTCCAGTTTTGCAATTGCCCAGAGATTTTATCAAAAAGAGCACTGCAATCCATGTGAGATAGCCTCTTGGGTATGAGAGGAACTCCAAGGTATTTGAATGGCATTTTTCCTTCATTAAACCCCAGATTATTGGAAATGGATGATTTGATATTATCCTCAACACCTCCATAAAAAAGAGAGCATTTTCTAGGATTTGCTTCTAACCCTGAAATCTCACCAAAAGATTTGACACACTGATATATCTTGTGCACAGAGTATGTGTATCCTTTAGCAAAAAGAAGCAAATCATCCGCAAAAATAAGATGAGTGATCTTCAGATTTTTACATTTAGGATGGAATTTAAAGGCCTTATCATCTTTTAAGGATGTTAAACTTCTTGATAAATATTCCATACCTAGGATGAAAAGGTAAGAGGAAAGAGGATCCCCCTGTCTCAACCCACGTTCACCCTTGAAATATTCTTACAATGATCCATTGAGAGATATAGAATACTTTGGAGTAGTAATGCAGGACATAATCCATCTTATCATGGCAGTTGGAAAACCTAAACCTGTAAGCATTTTTTCAATAAAGCTCCAACTTATTGTATCAAAGGCCTTCCTTACGTCAATATTCAACATGATCCTTGAAGAAATACGCCTTCTGCTGTAGTTTTTCTCTATCTCATGTGCTAACATTATGTTGCTTGAGATTTGCCTTCCCTTTACAAAAGCACTTTGAGCCTCATTTACAATATATCCTATAACAGGTTTTATTCTGTTTGCCAGAATCTTTGTTATGAACTTGTATATGCAGTTACAACAAGAGATTGGCCTGAAGTCTGAGGGAGTTTTAATTTAGTACACTGAATTTTAGGAATAAGAGTAATTGAGGTAGAGTTTGCTATCCCCAACAACTTACCAGTCCTGAAAAATTCCTCAATAGCTAAGATAATCTCATCCCCAATTACAGGCCACGCAGTTTTGAAAAAAGACATACTGTATCCATCTGGTCCTGGGTTTTTGTCTTCAGATAATGAGAATACAACTGCCTTTATTTCATATTTTGAAACTGGTTTCGACAGCACTTTGACTTGTGAGTCATTTAGACATGGACCTGGCTTAATGATGTTGATGTCAGGAGGAAGAGTGTTTGTTGCCTTACCCATCAGATTTTTATAATATGATATAAGCTCTTGCATAATTTCTTCGCCATCAGTAATTCTATCTCCCCTGCTGTTGTATAGGATTAGAACTCTATTATTGTGCCTTTTATACTTTGCTATAGCATGAAGCAGTTTTGAACTCCTATCACCATGCACATTCCAAGAAATTCTGGCCTTTTGCTTATAAAAAGACATTTAACAATCAAGGAGTTTATTGTATGTGAGAATGCACTCTTTCTCATGTTTAATATATTCAGAATTGAGAGGGCCAGATTGCAGAATTCTCTGAGCCTCTTCCAAAGCAATCTTTGCTCTTTGCACTTGTTCACTAATGTTGTAAAAATGCTTCTTGTTCAGATCTTTTAACTCCTTTCTCAGCATTTTGAGTTTTGTATATACCGAGTATATAACATAACCTTGAATAGGTTTGCCAAATTTTTGAGACAGTGGGTATGAAATTTGTATGCTTGGTCCACATTTTGAAAAATTTGAAAGACTTTTTCCCTTGTACCAAATCTTCATATACTGACACTATAGCTGGAGAATGGTCAGAAAAACTGGGGAGCATGAATTTCACATGGCTAGAGATATACTTATCAATCCATGCATCATTGACCAATGCCCTATCTAGCCTACTCCATATCCTTGAATTTGCATCCTGTTTATTATTCCAAGTATAAAAACACCCCTGAGTTTTTAAGTGACTGAGATTGCAATCCTCAATGAAGCTTTTAAAATATTTGGTATCAGCCTCTGTTAGATTTATTCCACCAAGCTTTTCCTCATTGTTTAATAAGGTATTAAAGTCTCCACATATGATCCATGGTACATTTCAATAAGGTATTAAAGTCTCCACATATGATCCATGGTACATTTCCAATATTCTGGGATATCTGATTAAGATCTACCCATAAATCTTCTCTAGCTTCCGATCCATGGTACATTTCCAATATTCTGGGATATCTGATTA